TCCACTCCAGTCGACGATCTTCGCTGCATCAGTTTTTTGTATCAGAGCAGGCGACTGGTAGAGGAGAATGTCCGTGCGCGGCAAGGATCCCGTCTCTGAGGAGAACCGGAACTTAGAAGCTTTGTGGGCTAGCCAAGATAACATCAACAGACGTTTGGATGCTTTGACTGCAGATGTCCAGCGATTGACAGTAGAAGTGCGCCGCGAGTTCAATCTCAATAGAGCGAGACAGCACGACATACTTCCCCGCCGGACAATGCCGCACAGAGGGTTCAACACCGATCGTCAAATCGGTCGGATACCGTCTACACATCCCGAACTGTCGGACTCCGACAGTGATTCGATAATGTACCCTGGGGCAGATCCCGTAGAATCGGAAGAAGACGATGATACCCACCATTACCCTCCGGAATTCGCAAGGCGAAGGCGACCAGTCGTGCGCAACCAGAGACCGGGAGAATTTAAGATCAAAATTGATGTTCCCTTCTTCGATGGTCACCTACATATTGAGGATTATTTGGATTGGGAAAAAGCCGTTGAAAATTTCTTTGAGTATATGGAGATCGAACCCGACAAACAGGTGAAGTACGTGGCCTGCCGTCTGCGTGGGGGCGCCAGTGCTTGGTGGGCACAAACATTACAGACCAGACAGCGGGAAGGAAGAGGCCGGGTTCGCGGATGGCACCGCATGAAACAGCTGCTCCGAGCTCAGTTTCTACCCACAGATTTTGAACAAATTCTATACATGAGGTACCAACATTGCACTCAAGGCCACCGTTCTGTGAGCGAGTACACGGAGGAGTTCAATGCTCTGAGTGCCCGAAACAACTTGAATGAATCCAATACTCAGCTGGTAGCAAGATACATAGGAGGCCTCAAGGATAGCATTCAGGAAAAGTTAGAGCTAAATGCGGTATGGTCATTACCGCAAGCTGTCAATCTGGCTTTTAAGGTTGAAATGCAGCAGAGCAGACAGTCCAAATCCAATACAATCCGCAGACAGTGGCAAGATCCTGCTAGCGGGTCAAGTAAGATAACGCCTCACTCTACAAAATCCGGCCAACCACCTCTTCTACCGACGCCCGCGACAACTCCTGCGAATACGACTGCTGATCCGAGACTGTCCGTGAAGCCAAGGCTGCAAGGTAAGGATAATCCTTATGCTAAACCGTCAACTCTCAAATGCTTTCGTTGTTTTCAGCCAGGGCATAAGTCCAATGAGTGCCCACAAAGGCCGCAAGCGCATTTGGCGGATGGCTCAGATAGGGAAGATCTTGAGAATGCGGAGGAAGAAGAAACAGATGACGTGGTTGCTGACGACGGAGAGCCTTTAATATGCATTCTCGAAAAATTACTACTGGCCCCAAGGCAGAACATCAATTCCCAACGGCATGCTCTTTTTCGGACGCGTTGTACCATTGGCGGCAAAGTGTGCGATCTTCTCGTCGATAGCGGCTGCACTGAAAATGTGATCTCCAGGGCGGTAGTGCAGAGTCTCCAGCTGAAAACTGTTAAAAATGCAAATCCTTATCGGATCACATGGGTTAAGAAAGGAATGGAGATCGCAGTCACTGAATCTTGCAAAGTAGTCTTCTCCATTGGCAAGCAATACGTTTGCGAAGTCAGCTGTGACGTCCTGGACATGGACGTCTGTCACTTGATACTGGGCCGACCGTGGCAGTTCGATGCGAGCGCCGTCTATGATTGCCGAGCCAACACCTATTCCTTGGATTACAAAGGGAGGCGTTTAAGACTACTACCACATGCTGCTATGGACAAAACGACACACCCTACACCAAGCAAACAAGCCGCTATGCACCTAGTTACAGGACACCAGCTGCTTCAATGCTGGCGGGAACCCGCCCCACTATATGCCTTACTGGTCACTGAGGTCACGTCAGATGTTGCAATTGTTGATACACACCAGGATATCACTCATCTGCTACAACAGTATGTAGAGATCGCCCCAAAGGAACTCCCCGCGGAATTGCCACCGCTACGTGATATCCAGCATTGTGTTGACTTCATACCCGGATCAAGCCTCCCAAACTTACCACACTATCGGTTGAACCCGAAAGAGCAGCAGATCCTACAAGGATTAGTTGATGAGCTGATTGAAAAGCAACTGATACAGCCGAGCATGAGCCCGTGTGCCGTACCCGCGCTCCTTGTTCCGAAGAAAGACGGGAATTGGCGAATGTGCGTAGACAGCAGAGCTATCAACAAAATAACAGTCAAATACAGATTTCCCGTTCCCCGAATTGACGAGTTGATCGACCAGCTCTCCGGATCCTCCATTTTCTCGAAATTGGACCTTAGGAGCGGTTATCACCAGATTCGTATTCGTCCCGGCGACGAATGGAAAACGGCCTTCAAGACGCCACAAGGGTTATTTGAGTGGAAGGTCATGCCCTTCGGGCTATGTAATGCTCCGTCCACTTTCATGAGGATGATGAATGAAATTTTGAAGCCATTTTTGGGCAAGTTCTGCATTGTCTATTTTGACGACATACTCGTCTTTAGCACTTCATGACACTCGCATTTGGAACATCTCACAGCACTTTTTGATGTGCTCAAACAGCAGAAGTTATTCCTGAATCTTCCCAAGTGTGAATTGGGAGTGTCCCAAGTCTATTTCCTTGGGTTCATTATCTCAGCCAGTGGCATTCAGATGGATAAACAGAAAATTGCAGCCATCGTAGATTGGCCAACACCACAAACCTTCTCGGATGTCCGAAGTTTCCACGGATTGGCAAATTTTTATCGGAAGTTTATCAAGAACTTCAGTCTTATAATGGCACCTATCACGGACGGGCTCAAATCCAAGATCTTCCGGTGGACTGACGAGCAGCAACAGGCATTTGAACGCATCAAAGTTTGTATCAGCTCCGCACCGGTATTGGCACTTCCGGACTTTGACAAGCTATTCACGGTGGATACAGACGCATCGGCCATTGGCGTAGGTGCTGTTCTATCACAGTCCGAGAGACCAGTGGCTTTCTTTAGCGAGAAGTTGTCTCCAACTCGACAGAAGTGGGCAGCATACGAACAGGAGTTGTACGCCATCATCCGCGCCTTGAAACAGTGGGAACAATACTTGCTTCACCAGGACTTTGTTCTCTGCAGCGACAACAAAGCACTCTCTTATATCAACAGTCAAAAGAATGTCAATCGGATGCATGCTCGATGGCTAATGTTCTTACAACGGTTTTCCTTTTCAATAAGGCACAAACCCGGCGCTAGCAACAAGGTGGCTGATGCATTGAGTCGGAAACGCTGCTTGCTAGTTCAATTACAAACCCAAATCACCGGCTTGGAGTGCTTAAAAGACCTCTATGACGAAGATCCAGACTTTGGGGAGATCTGGAAGCAGTGTCAAACCGAGCAAGGTGTTGATGATTATTTGGTACAACATGGGTACCTCTTCAAGAAGAATCAATTG